TTATCTTTCCTTTCAGATTGTCTATAAATGACACAAAGTGCAGACAGTTAGATTCCAAAATGTAATGATCAGTGAAGGCATTGCTTATTTCCCACTATTTGAAAACCCCTGCACTGCTGGCCAATGTAAGCGTATTTTTGTGATCCACAGGACAAGCAGTTTTCTGAGTTCTTTCCTTCTTGTTGCAAATAAGCAAGTAGGCACAATTTGGCTCTACATATCCTAAGATTTAAATTTATCCAGTAAAAAAAACTGAAAATGAAGCTATTTATTGTCAAGCACTTTTATAGGATAATGATCTCCTGCTGCTAGATACAAAAGAAGTCCAAGTGAGGCTAGAAGACGCACAGAATTCCAAGTATCTATTCTAACAGACTTATAGGCACTAGCAGTGGAAATCAGACATTAGGTGACTTAGTCCACCTCTTTGCCAGGGAAGAACTGGTTCCCTGCAGTCCATTTCCTCCTGTTTGTACAGTTCAGTTTTAAATAATGCATGTGATAGAGCTGCAAGTTCTACTACTTAACACAACCTCCTGTCTAGATGTCACTGGTCTTCAATGGAATTTTTTTCTTTAATTTCATTATCTCCTAACTATTATTCCTAGTTAGGCTCCCATGCCCCATATAATTCACCTTTACCCTCCTTTTATTAATTTCCGCCTTGATCTATGACACTGTCCCAGTTCACCAATTATTTCAAACTGTAATTAGATTACCACATGGGAAGCCATTATTCATAGATGTTAATGGAACCAATAAAGGAAAAACATAACCCTACATACTATCTGTGCTTTGCAAATTTTATAAAGCAACTCAATTGATGTCAATACTCAGCAAAATTGGACTAAGTACACCAGGTTTTTCCTCAAAATGCTTTTGCTATTCTGGATACTTAGATCCCTGTATTCTATTGTACTATATCATACAGGGTGATGTTATTAACTCAATATTGAGCCATGAGACAGTTATGAAACAATTTGAAGTAATCTTGCGATTCATCTCAATGGATTACTATTGATTTAGGTACCTCAGAAAACCATGTATTTATCTTCATGTAAAGGCTCAGAAACTCCCTTTCTTAAGCACTATGAGCTGCAAAAGGCAAAAGTTCTAGTACTGAGAACATCCTGTTCATCAAGATCCAACAGAAATTAAAGGTGACATCCAAGTTCTCAATCATATCAATAAATGGTTTTAGTAGCATTATTTCTCTTTCTTTAACCATACTAGAAACAGATTATCAGCAATCTAAACGGTCTGCATTTCAAGTGGCAATGAGGTCAACAAAAAAAGAGCAAGCTAAACAAGTCAGTGAAAGTAAGATCGAACAGGTAGATCATAGCTTGCAATCAGTACTAATATGTGGAAATACAAGTATATGGGGACTGGTCTTTAAATGATTACAGCCAAGAGGCCTGACTTTCAGTTACCTTGAATTTACTTTCAGCACAGCTAGGACAGAGAGCACAAAGGCTGCAGAAGCCTTACTTTTATTGCTAGCTTTGTTAGGCCAGCCAACAGTGTGGAACTGTCCCAGATGCTCCTCTCCTGCCTCATTCTAGCTTTCTTACGGTCCTGCTCTGTCCATGATATGGACCATGATGATGTAAGAAATCTTGCCTTTCTTATATTTGGCAGCTTTATGAAAGAATGAGAAGTTGGAAACAGACCACTGTAATCAGAAAGGAACCAAAGAAAACCTCCTTCGGCTAGAAAAATAAAAATCCAGTCCTACCATTTTTATACCAAAAAAGTTTTGGTTTTCTTCCATGAATAGAAACAGAAAGGTGACATTCATCCAATTCACACAGTCCAAACTGCCTTTTCTGGGCAGCAAAAACTGAACTTCATTTCACACAAAACTTCCTGGAGGAGAAACTGTAATTGTATTATGGGAAAAATAGTCTAAATAGGAATTCTGGTTCAGAGGACAATGGTATCATCAGGCACCTGACTAATTCCATACCAAGACTTAGACAGACACAATTTAATATTTCAATTTCTTTTAATCCAATTTGAAATTTGACAGTTTATTTATTTTTTCTTCGGGAAAAAAATGTTTTTGTGTAGAAACTCTAATTTTTGACAAAACTTTAACATTTTTAGTACATGTTTTTGATTAAAGTAATCTTGTTCTGTTTTTATTACAAATACTTGTGGGAGAGAATGAATGTTTCTGACCTGCTCTACTTCAGCTTCTGAGAACTCCATCACCCCAATGCAATGCTTGAAGTTCACAAGTGACAGAAGCAGGGGATGATGCCAGTACTGTTGCCTTCACAGACCTTCCCATATAAACAAATGGAAGACTTCAGTCTTTAGTACTTCCCGTTCTACAACCTTCATAAACACAAATATTTACCCAAAGGAATATGAAGAATCACATTCTCATCAAAAACCCCCATGCCTTCTGATTCCAACAGTGCAAAGTTGTGGACAAGGTAATACTTAAATGTGGTTTGCAAAAATTGAATTTAAGACTTGGAGAACAACTCTCAACATATGGCTAATTATGTTTTCTGAAGTTTCACCAAATAAGGAGCTAAAAATAGGTCTGCAGCTGATAGCAAATAATTTTTTTCCAGTGGAGTCATTCTTCATTTGAAGATAACAGCCCCAGTAAAATGCTGAATGCTGCAACTCCACATGTTTTGGCAAAAAAAGTAGTTTTGGGGAATTTAAGAACTCACTCAGCATGCAGCCAGCTGTCATTAAAACTGTGATAAATCTGTTGGTTTTGGCCTGGGTCTCTGAACACATGTACCATCCAGAGGTATGGAAAAGAGATGAACTGGTAACACAGAACTTCAGCTTTGTGACAGGAGACAAAAGCAAGGAGGAAAATGGAGGAGACAAAAGCAAGGAGGGAAATGGAGAAGACAAAATGGAATAGAGAAGTCTAATTAAGACTGATGTAAAGCAGAGGAAAGCATACATAAGCTGCCTAAATATGACAAAATCCATAACTTTAATAGCACAGCTGTCCTTCAGCTGCATGTCTTTGCGTTCTTTCAGTTTTTCAAGGAGCTGAGTTTATTACAGATAATGAATACTTTGACGATACTGCACATGCTTCAGGGCAATACAAAAATGAGTATGCTACAATAAAAAAAAATATTTTAAAAAGGATTTTTAGTTTTTTGAGTCTACATTAAAGGTTTTAAGGCTTCTCTGATGTTTTATCAGACCTTCCATATAATACTATTATAAGGACGAAATACTGGACAAGCAAAAAGTACACATACGACCTTAACTCCCTCCCTTTGAGAATATTTGTTGCTACTGTTGTGGATAGACCTTTAACTTCATGCAGGGTCTCTTCTGACTTAATAATTGACAGGCTGGAGCTATTATTTGTCAATGACCTCTCATCTCATCATTTTTTGATACTTTTCTATTATTTTACATTTTCCATGCCTGTGTTTAGCTTAAGAAGTCCTTCCTTCCAGGAGATCCTGAAAGCTTCACACCTCAACTAGGACACTGTATCTGAGTCAGATGAGGAGTCCTGCAGAATGAGCACAAATTAAAGCTGTATACTTGGCAAATAATCACTGAGGTAGGCTTTTAGAGACAAAGAGGAGGGTAACCACATAATTTCCTTGAGTCTTGTAGAGATATATCTTTAACTAAGCTTGAGGTCAGAGTTGTAACAGCTTACAAAGGATTTCTGAATGTAGGAGACATTGAACCCAAATGGAGATATTTGAATGGAGAAATTTCTCAAATGGAGTATACTCAGAGGTAGTTATTGAAAATCTTACTAGATGTGTTAGAGACTATTGAAAATCTGGCGCTGAAATTATATGAGAACAAAACCTGTGACAAAGAGTATCTGACAAGAAAAGTCATGGAATAAAAAAATAACATTCTCTTTTAACTCAAAACCCTGCAGCACTAAGAGCAGTCAAACTGTTCAGCCTTTCTCTACACAGAGAGTTATTTTGGGCAAATTCTGACTCTTCTTTGCAACCTTCATTCTTCTTCACTGGCAAAATCATTTCAGTCAGCTCTATCAGGACAATATCCAGAGGCAAAGTAATCTGCTCTAGTAATATGGCTCAATGCTGCTTCCCAGAAAGGAAGACAGGTTCAGAATCAGAAGCACAATCATGACTTCCACACCAAATCCACAGCTGCAAACCGCAGCTTAAACTCAACACAAGAACAAACAAGCACATTTTTCCCAACATGCTCTCATTCTTTGAAGTCCAAATATCACAGATATTACATATGTTTTACTACGATGTAGATTACTGCACATTTTGAGTTTACTATTTAAAGCATTTGTCAGGGGCATGTTCCCTTCCTTGATATAGTCAGATGAGACAATAACAGGTTTTTATTGACATATTTAATATCTTTAAACAGGAACAAATTTACAGACAGGTGTCTCATCAGCAAGCTTATGAGACAGCACTCTGCCACTTATTGGTATAGGATGATTGTATTTTACTTCACTGATTATTCTTTGAGCTACTTGATATAGTCCTCTAAACTCTGCCCCCATTTCTATACATTTATTTCTAACCTCCATATTAAGTCTCCTCACCATATCCCACATCTTCTTGTTAGTTCTGGACAGATTATATTATACTTTTTTTCTCACAAAATGGTGACTTACACTTTCTTATGATGGGCATTCCTGTAACTGTTCATTGTTTGGCCTGCATTTCCACAGCACCCTTTATCCCACTTCTTTTTCTAATAGCCTTTTATACATTCTTGCTTTTACAGAAGAAAATGCTTTGATAGGGCTACAGGGCAAAATTGTAGAGAAAATTTATTTCCCTGGTGACAGCATTCTGGACCTCTGCATCAGCCTCATTGGCTGCACAGGCCTTAATTGTTGAGGTGTTCCCCCAGATCCCATTTATCCAAATGAGGGAAATGCTAGCATATACCACAGCTCCCATTCACTCAAAGGCACAGGACTACTTTCTCTAGAAAGTACAGTATGGGAAGGGGCTAGTGCAAATAAATTCCTAACAGTCCACATGGTTATCCTAGCTATTCCAGTACTGCCTAACAGCACTAAGGGCTCTGGACTGCAGTTCAACGCCTCCTTGAAACTGGAACTCAGAACCTGGATGCTTTCTGAATTTAGAAACAAATCCACAGGCCTTAACTCTATTGTCCCAAGGTTGATTGTCACTACTCAGCTGTTTTTTGGTAAGTTGGACTTAATGGTACCCAGGCTGTTTTAGCCAAGCATGGATGTTTAGTAGGAAGCACACTCCAAGAGAATTCAGCAGAAATACACAGTATTTCTGGATTCTCAGTGGGTAGGAGATAGGCAGCTCAGTCAGTAAAATAGTCCTTCTGTATGCACTAGAAAAGGCAGTTTGAAGGCAGTTTGTTGTATTTCAGGAATTAAAGCAAATAAGGCTGTTTTGGTGTGTTTTTTTTTTGGCTTTGGTTGGGTTTTTTTTGTTCTCCCTAGACAGCTTTCCTAAATTTAGGTGCTTAAATTTCAGTTAAGCTATGTCTTAGATGCCAGAGTACTACTTAAGGTATTGTTCAAAGTTAACAAATGTTCTCTGTATCTATCTTCTTTTCATATGCTGGAAAAAAGACAGAAATGATGCACATCTGGAAACTGTTGTTTTGTTGTTCATCACATCTGTTTGTTCATGAATTAAATATTAAGTTGACCCAAAAAGCATGGCTGAAAAGCAATGCCAGAGGGATAAGGAATCACAATCTGTGAATTTAGTGCTCTTGATGCTCATATGACTAAATGCAGCTTATCTTTTTATTGTTTCTGAGAAATTAATGTGAAGAGGAAGAATAAGGAAAATGAAGTCAAATCAACAGCTTTGTATGCAGGTTCTATTTTTTTACTTTTAACGTCCGAATTTAAGAAGCTTAAAAAAATAAATATATAGAGTCTTAAAGCTCAAATAGGCAAAGTCAAAGACAAGTTTTCTGGTAATAATACATTGGTCTCAGTTAATATTTTAAACAGAGAGTGAACATATCCATGTATAAGGTGGACATGGTTCTGTTCTGTTCTAATATTGCCTTCACAGCTTTGGTAGAAGTTTTGCAATTTCTATGAAACAATTTGATGATGTTTCATTTTGTGATACTTTTTATGGACAGGACTGCCCAAGAGAAAATTAAGCATAGAATTCCAGGCCTCACTATATCTTTCAGGTCCACATCTTAGAATTTTGCTTTTATGCAAGAAATTGTCTCAGAATGGAGCTCATATTGCTATGTGAATTCGGGACAGATGTGAATTCGGGACAGATGTGACACACTTAGACTGATGTTAAGACTCTGTCAGATATGACACAGTATTAAAAATCAAACAAATAAAATCACGGTGCTGTATCTGCTTACATATGTTACCATGTTTTGAGGGCATGTCAAGTTTTCAGGATGACAGAAACAATGTCAGAGTGAGAATGGATGTATAACTTATTTTTTTAGTGCTCATTTACTTGTAGCATGTAAGCCTTTAAGAAATGGCTTTTTAAGTGTTAGACACATATTAGCATCCGAGAAAAATCTGAAATAGCTACCTGTAAAGATACAATATATATTTCCTGTTGTGGGTAAGCCTAAGTCTTTTTCTTGAATTCTGATTCTAAATAAAATGGCATAATCATGTCATGTTCCCTCAGCCTTAACTAAAGTGCATGAGATCATCTTCAAAATACAGCTATTCTCTGTTGATCGCACTCCTTTTGCAATATTCACTACCAGCTGTGGTGACATCACTTGTTTTACATGATTCAGGAATTAGTTTGATTAGAAATAAGAAGCTATTATATTTTAGTACATGTAAGCATGTCTGCCTATACCACAATCTGCATGAATGCTGTACAGATGTGTAAATGAACTGCAGGATCCTATGGAAAAAAATTCTATTTCTGTGCTCATGAAGGGGTTTTGTTCTTTAACAGTTCTAATCTGAATAAGCTAAGGTCTACTTCTCTAGAGCTTGAAGGTTTGATTCTTCACTCATAAAATCTTCTACCATCCAGTACTAAAGACAAACATGATAAAGGAAAGCATCTTATACAAAAGACTGTAGGATTTTAAAAAAGCCCTATAATGTAGCATTAACTATTACCTAGCATCTTTTCTTTAGAAGAACAAATTGAATAGACTGACTTAAAAACTCATTAGTCTAATAAAACAGCAAAATGCAGCATATAAATCCAGCAATGACTACCTTTTTTCACTCTGTAGACAGCCTACAAGCAGAAAATCTGTTACTGTGAGGTACTCTTCCAAGCTTATAGTCATGGCAGTTCATACCTTGATTTAATCCAATAAGCCTGGTCCATTTGCTTTTGTTACCTAGTGAAAACCTTAACTAAAAAAAGTGTTTACTCAGTTTCTTCCTAAGCATAACTAGTTCCCCTGAAAATACTTCTTTTTCTGAAGAACAGAACATTGTTTGCAACAATTAGAAAATAAAAATGTTTCTTGCACATGTAGATTTCAACACAGATCCAAAGAAAACATTAACATCTTAGGCCTGGAGTGACAGTTCCACTAATAAGGTTCCTCTGTTTAAAGAATAGCACATCAGGGGAGCATAACTGAGTTGTTCAAATTAACTCATTCAGTTTGGTATTTTCTGAATAAGTCATTTGAAAAATGGTGTTTTCTCATTCTAATGACCCATTCAGCCTATGCACGGTCACCCAGCAGCATTGCCTATTGTTTGAAAGCAAATACAAACATATGCAAGCTACTCTGAAACAATGGACAATATTTAGCATTGGCATAAACATATGCATTGCTCCCAGAAGCCAAAAGACTTGTACCTTCCAAAATAAGTTTCCTGAGTGCTGCTGCAAAGATGATTTTGTATTACCGAAGATGGTATCCTCTTCTTATAGGGAGGAGTAGAAAAAGGAGAAAGGCTGCCAGAAAGCAGGGCTTTCTCTAGGGCTGCCTGGTTGTTTTGTCAGTTTCATCTTTAACAGAGCAAAATCCTACTCCAACTAAGGACTGACAGATGTAGCAGTAAGATCTTTCTTTCTGTCTTCTCTGAATTACCTAAGCATGACCTATGATGGAGCAGTAGCTGAATAGACAGCTGTTACAGCTGCCATCAATCTAGGTGTACCCCACAAGTGAGGCAAGTGTTAGATCTATTGTGTTTCCATTTCCTACAGTAAGTATAGCAAAGATGGATTGTCTCTCCTGATTTCAGAAAAGCATAGTGATGCTTTACAGGCTATTATAATAGAATTTATATTCCTGTCTGGTTTTCCTCCTTGGTTGCACATCTCACTGTCAGGTTTCTGGAGCCTCTCATTCAGCTGAAATGCAGTATCGCGTTATTATTCATTGCCTAATCATAGGGTGTTAAGAATTACACTAAGAAAAGGTAACTACTCCAACACAATGTGAGCCCTGCTCATGTTGCCGTCACCTCAGAGGTTCTATGGAAAAATTCTCATGTAAATAAAAAATAGGATTTGTGGATTACAACCAAGGGAGTTAATTGATTACTCTGACACACCATGAACACCGAAGAAACAAAAAATTCATTAACATGAACTTCTCACTGAGTTGCTAGCAAGAAAGGAAAATATATTCCTGTCACTCTTTGCTTTCTATTACGAGCCAACTGGCTGCCCCTAGAACAAGAAAATAGGTCGTGGAAACTTTCATCACAGTCTGAGGCTGAGTCTGCCCCAAGATGGTGGCAACCAGTTACATTTCACAGCTATCTGTCAGGCCTGTGTGAGATGCCCAACATCTGTTCGGCATTACAGCACCTTGACAGACATCATATGAAAGATGCTGTGAGAGATCACAGCATTTTTGTATTGTGCTCTACAGATCCCTGGCTAAATTGAGCCACAGAAATCATGCCTGGAGTGAGCTGGACATTGGTAGAAAAAGAACCTTAACAGCATCGGGGGAAAGTAAGTTATATTTCATCATGAAAAGAAGAAAATAATTTAAAATGGAAGGAGTTATAACCAAGCAGAAAAATAAGATGTAGCAAAGCAAAGTAAATAACATTTCTAACAAAGGACAAACTGCAGTTGGTTAAGAAAGTAAAATTTGCAGAAACTCAGCTGTTTTTCCATGTTTTCAGATCCATGTTTCCAAAATTCAAAATGTAACATCTGAAAACTAGATTACAAAACTGCAGTCACAATGGCACGATGATTAGATATTTATCCAAAACAAACACGCATAGGAACTGGTTTTTTTCAGCATTAGCTTGCAAAACAATTGGGCCAAGAAATTAAGGAGAAAGAATCTGAAGACTCTGTCAGCCATGCTAAATGGATTCAGCTTTAACAGCTACTGCTATTTTTGGTAGACACATAAACATGCCTCCTTTATTACACAACTGCTTTGAAACTGACCTGCAGATCAGAAACAGACTGGGGCTTCTAGGCACTGGGCCACATCGAACAACAATCCAGCTGGGAAATTATATCTAGGGGACTGTTTGTCCCATGGCCTGTTTCTTCTGTTTTTCTCACAGATGGCTGCAGGTTTTGCAGAGCTAATGTGCTTTGTTTCGTTAGTCGTAACTGACACCTCTTACGGATAAACAGCATAGTTACACACCTGAGATTCAGCATAGCAGAAATACCACTTGTGCTCCTTTTCCTGACACAACTTCTTGTGTCCTGAGACCAAGACTGACCCTCTGCTAAGTAGCAGAGAACATCTGCAACATGTCAGCTTCCCAGGAGAGAAGAAATCAGTGAGGACTAAGTGTATCAAGGCTTTATTTTTATATATGTGTATCCCAGTGGGGGAACACAAGCAGCAAAGTAGCAGGCTTTTGGTTTTTTTCAGAAAGCTTCCAGTCTACACTGATGTGTGCTTGTCAAAGCTCCTGCTTCTGATGGTAAACTACTGCTTGTTCAAGATCACTGATTTGGCTGCTCATCTGGAATTTCCCAGGTACTGAGGAGTCCAGCTAGGGTAGCAGCTGCCAGGCAGCCAGAAATCCTGAACACATAATTCACTGTACATGCAGAATGCATACAGTGACACTGAGCAGGCTTAGTACGAGTCATATGGGCACACACAGTACGTTTGACACCTGCAGAATGCGTTGGATGGGTTGCACAGCATGTGTTGCATGAGTGCCCTGTTGGCACGTAGTCAGCGTATCCTGAGCATGTTAGATGCACTGCAACGCTCAATTTCTGTCTATGAGGGAAATCTGG